AGCAGGGGGGCAAGCCTACTGTCCATCTTCTGCACATTTAAATTTGTCTTTATCTTCTTGGTGGCAGCGGTGGTAGCTCTGCGGATGCCCTCGCACCATTCCGGTACAAGGGCCAGTCAGGAGCACTGGCCCTTGTACCGCGAATGCTGCGAAAAAGATCCCAGTCAACCACCGTGAACTCTCGGACTCTGCTACGGTCCACTATAGTAGAAGTTTGCAGAACGTAGTGGTCGCTGCCAAAATTCATGGTGGTGTTGGCCCATGTAGTCTTTTCGACATTCTTTATGAAAGCAAGGTCTGGCGTCGTGTCCCTGGTTGCAGAGTTGCCTATCCGCGTAAGAAAAGCCTTATCAGTGATTAAAGTAAGGTCTAGTTCGGTGGCGTCCTGCCAGAGGTCGCGACCTGTTCTCGTCTCATACACGTATCCCCATAAGCCATGTGGCGCATTGAAGTCACCGACCATGACAAGCGGCCGAGGACCGGCTAATTCAACTGCCCTCTCGAGCAACGTCTTGAAGTGCTGGCGTCTGTGCCTAGGGTTACTGTAGACATTCAGAACAAAAACACTGTTTAACCTGTGACGGCGCGCTGATGATGCTCCCCGCAACTGTGCGATATATGCACTCGGCCACGAATTACGCCCGCCCGCTTGCGATAAAGAAGAGTTTATCAATATACCACAAGCAATCGAAGGACCGCGTTGCAAAAAACGCGTTAGGGATCAATGTCCAATTGTGGCACGTTGAGAATGACTTCAATCGAAAGCTGGGCGTCAAGACTATACATACGGTGCACTGACCATTAATAGAACCTGCTTAGTTTTACTGCAGTGAACGTTTTTGTCTCCAAAAACAGGCCACTTTTTCTGCCGTTTCCACATACTCCCATTGTACGATCTTTAACTGCTCTGAGAACAAAGTTGAAGCTTACCTCAACTTGATATCACTGCAGCCTTCTCGTCCGTTGAGGTTCCCAGACGTGCTCGTCTGCGTTTTTCAACATTCGCCTTCTACAAATAATTATTTGAGAAAAACTCACCGGTTCCATTGAAAACACGCTAGCTTCGAGCAGGCACCGCTAGAGGCGCTGGCTGTTATGTGTCCAGGAAAGCTGGGTATGGTGGGACCACGACCTACTGTACTCCTGACCTGCCCAGCTGGCGGTGGTCTACGGAGCTGCCTGCGCCGACTCGGATGCCGAACTTCACCGCCTAGGGGGCGCTCGAGTTACCCCAGCTGAGCGCTGGTGGATGCATGGAAATGCATGGGTTACCGCCGGTTCGAGAAGAGTTTCATCACGCATTGAGTAAATATGGTGGGTATCTTGAATGATTTTATTTCATGTGACTTTGAGAATCTTCTTTTGCATTTTAGTTGACATTTCACTGCATTATTTTTCAAAGAGAACCGCAAATCAGATACAAACACATGTATCAGCGTGCAAAACAAGAAAGAATGATGACAGAGACACGTTGTAAAAAGTGCTGGCCCACCAAACGTTTATTTAACTCATGATACCGGCTATACGTGTATACAACGGTAGACTTGTTGTCGCACACTAAGCTTGATTAAATTTACTGTCTGGACAAGAAAGGGCAAGGACTATGACATTTGACAGTGGCCGCGGCATCTAGCGCGCATAGAAAACAACCCAATACAGACAATTTTGCGCATAAATACCTTCGTCTGAAATGGCAAATGTAGATCGCAGGTACACGAATAATTAATAAAAAACACTCGGCAACTGTTTTGAAACAAAACAGCACCAATAGCAAACAACTTTACCTGCAAGACTGCAGCGTTTGCTCTTTTGGAGAGCAGATTAACGTCTGTAGCTTCACAGTTCAGCTTGGCAATTTGCGCTTTTAATTCAGCATTATTCCTTGCCATGGCTTGGCATTTTCGGCACGATAATTTTGCGGAAGTCATGACATGGCGCATCTTCTGGCTGGTTATAGTTGTTTGCGTGGTCAAGGCGTGTCGGTATTTTTTTTTTACTTTCTCGCCTGGAGCAGTTTCGGGCGGTTCTGTGTGTTCAAATTCGGTGGGAGGGTGCTTAAAATCTGAGGACGGTCCCGCAGTTGTGTTTACGGATGGTACTGGTGACATGTCGCCCGATGTCAAGCTCTGCTGCACCGGGGCTGAACCTGTTTTCTTCCTGCACTAAAAAATTGTGTTCTGTTATACGCCTTTTCTTGAAATTCGTTTTCATTGGTCCAATTTTTATGCAAGAGCCGTGGGGAGACGTCAAGCATTATACATTGTTAGTCACTTTTTTTCTTTGGACAGGGTCCATGTTCCTGAACATTTGAACGTTTCAAGGTGCGGCGGACTTTTGCCACGGGCAGTGCCATGTACTTTGGGTAGTGTTGAAACACTGACGGCACAGCATCCGCTTTCAGTCTTTTTATCTTTAGTCTCGGCTTATAGTCGGTTGGAGCAAAGTGCACACTGCACACCTCCGACCTGTAATGTGGGAGCCAAACTTTATTGCCAGCACCTTGAAAGGAAGATGAACATCCAGTGAAATATTGTGAATAAAATACGAAATTTATTGTTCTTTTCTAAGGAGTATATCATGCTGTTAGAAGTTTATACCATGGTGGCGAAGTTAATAAAACATAATTATGAAGTGAGCGTATGACTTCACCGCGTTAACCATGTGACACACGTAACTGGCTGAGATACATTAGCACTAAATAAAACGGATGACCACAAGAAAAAAGACAAGGACACATGCTACTCACAACTTTTCATTAGGAGAAAAGTTTTCTCGTATATGTCCCTTTGTCATGCATGCGCGTAGACGGGTAAACTAACACGTTTATATCAGATGCGGTAGCACATAACTCCAAGTTCGAGGTCGAACTAATTAAGTGACAGAGGATAAATATCCACTTATGCAACGATCTCTGCTCTTTTTGGTAATGTAATTAAACTACCAAAACAATCTCGAAGAAGCTGCTTCTTCCCACAATGGATGTGTTTAAAACCTAGTTGCATAACCACATGTAGTTACATGGCTTCCATATGTGCACTCTTGTCATCTTTTTTTTACTAATAAAAAGTTGTGAGTATAGCACGTCATTTACTTTCTTGAGGTTGTTGGTTTATTTATTTTTTTGCGCTAATATGCATCTCAGTCTGTCATGCACCACCAACCAGCCCAGCAACTCACTCTTTTGAAGACACGTAGTCATTTTCAACCCATTACATTTTCAGCATGCCAGACAACGCCTAATTGAGCAAACTTACCCTTTCTAGAAATCACCTTGATCCATTTTTCACCAATTTCGATCACTGGAAACTCATGAAAAGTGACATAAGAAGTCTTCCCTTGCCTTTATTCGCAGAAAGGCACGCAGTACACCACCATCGTGATGGTTCATTTGCACCAAGAAACCTCGTTTCACTGGTGTACAAATTGCACCTACCTGCACGTTTCTATCGCAGCTCGGCACGAAGAAATGGTAGCAAAAGATCGTCATTATACTTTTAAGTTTATTCAAAAAATGGCTTTTATTCTTTTTTTTTCAATTGTCCAGAGTGTATGCACGCGTAAACATTGCTGCTCTTCTCCTGGTGCCGCGCAAGCAGACGAACAAAAAAAAAAAGCGCGGCGGCCTATGTTTTGGCCGTCAGCAACCGGTGCGGATGGGGTAAGTTGTAGCACCACAGAGCACATAGCGGCAGGCGCCAGTACCAGAAAGGGCGTGCTGGCGCTTCGCTCACTGGACAGGTCAGTAAAATACAGTAGGTAGTGGGTGAGATTGGCGCAGCTTAAATGGTGGCATTTCTGTGCGCTCACCAGCGCAGGTTTCTCGTGTACGACGCCGCCACCGACATCAGAGTTTCACATGTTTAACTTAAAATAGGGTAACCGCTGGCCATTAAGGGTAACTGACTGGGTTCGCAGAGAATTCGCACGAAGGGGAGACGGAAAGTTGAGTGTGCCCATGAGATTATAAAGTTCGCAGGTATAACGTGGCAGCAGAAAGTACAAGACCGGGTTGATTGGCGGACCTTGGGAGAAGCCTTTGCCCTGCAGGGGGCATAGTCAGGCTGATGCGATGCAGTTTTAAAAAAATATCCACAATGGCGAGTCAGTCGTATTGCAACAGCTTGACACAAGAGAGGCAAATAAAATGAGTTTTCAGAGATGAGCTAACGCGAACACTTTGGTTAATTTATTTTGCGAAAAAAAACAAATAAATTATCAGACATTTTTTTAAATAGTATGCCCGAACATGTATTAAAAAACACATTTGAATGTCCGTTGTCTCTTCAAATGTCGATTCCCAGAGACCGAAAATAAGTGACTTCCGCTCAGTATTAATAAAATTCATTGCTAGAAATTTTCAAGCTACAGAAAGTTGATTCAATTATCAAGATGAGAAGGCGTGTAATAGAGTTGAGAACACGTACACGTGCTAATTGTACCTCCTTAATGCGGTTACATTTAGCTATTTTTCGGTTTATTTTCTTTGATCAATAGGTATGCGCTAAAAAGTCCGCAGATTTCGTACAAGATATTAACGTGCCTGCTGAAATTGAGGACGACGCAAAGAAAGGCAAGCCTTGTACATTGATAAAAACTGCAGGTACGTAGCAGGCGCAGGGAAGTTCTGCGTATCAAGCGCACAGACGGGATCACGCGTGGCTGTGGAAGCTGCTGTACGTATACTTACTACGGCACGTTAGCTGCAAGCTGCCGTTAACGATTTAAGTATCGCACAAGGCATGAATGAGCATAAGGTATGAACATGCTAGGCGCGATTGCGGAATTCGCATGTCTGTGATGTAAACGACAGCTGAAGTCGCAGAATTCGCGCTGTGGATAAGTGGCATTGTGTGGGCTCACAAAGCATTGTCATTTTGAAAGAAAATTAGGGTCAGCAGAAATGTCTGCGAATTGCACATTCTAAGAACGTCCAGAACTGCTAAGGGGGCAAATGACCAGGCAGGCACACAAGAAAGGGATAAGATGAAAGCAGCGACAGATAGCAGAAGCGGAAGGTTTTATTGAGATTAAAAAAATTAAAAACCACATTGGATAAGACGTGGTGCAACGCGTAATATTCGGAGTTGACGAGCATGCCGGAAGAAGAAACACCGGTGCCGCTACAGTCCGCCCTTGGAATTATCTTGGAACAGCGTGGCGGATCAAGGCACCTGGAAGAGGAGAAACATTGAAAATTTAGCGAAGATTCAAGGGGCTCAATAATCCAATGCCGGTATAGGTACCCTCTGTGAATGGTTCAAATAATAAAAAAGTTGAGAAGAGCGCCAGAGAAATACTGTGCGGGCCACACGATTGAATGGCGGATATGTAGAAGTGCAACAGTAAATGAAATAGGGAATTTTAGAATAGCGCACCGCAAGCCCTTGCTGTGCGGTCGCTGCTACCGCGCATGCGTCGTAACGCGAGCTGCCGTTTGTGGCCCGCCCGCAGAAAATCTGAAACAGCGGGCGGTGTATGCGGCCCGTAAGCGGTGGTAACAAGGGTATACGGTGTCACTGCGATCGTCCGTTGCGGTGTGCCGGAGGGCAAAAGCTAGTCTAATACTCATATGGCACCCGCAACGCCCGCAAACGTTATTCTAAAACGCAACTAATTTGGACGCGGTAACTACGGCCTGAAGCTAATAATTGTTCGGGTTTAACGTCTCAAAAGTACCTTACGATTTTGAAAGACGCCGTAAGGGAGGGCTCCGAAAATTGCAACCACCGAGTTGTTTAATACACACGTCAATCTAAGCACACGGGCCTAAAGCGTTTTTGCCTCCATCAGAAATTCAGCCGGGATTCGCTCACACGACCGGCGGGTTAGCAGCCGAGTGCCTTAGCCACTAGACCACCATGGCAGGTTATGGCGTAACAGAATTTTTCGCTTCAAATCCAACCAAGGCTAATGTGTTACAGTGAAGAATATTAAACACTTACTGTTTTCACGTTGGTGGCAGGCACTCGCAAGGTGGCTTCACTCCCAAAGGTGCTAGAACTCAGCCCGCTAGAGCTACCGGTGTACTGCGTGGCTTTTTCTTCACGGCTGTCGGAAGACCCTGTCATCGGAGTGACTTGGGTCATGCTGCTGCTCGTTGGAGACATGACGGCAGAAAGGAAACCCTCCGTGTCTGCGTCACCCACGGATGGCGTAAGGCCAACACCTCCGGAATCAAAAGGACTCTGGACGGCAGTTCCGGGAACGGAAGACCGCGAAGCCCCTGCAGCGTCAACAGGCTCCTCCGGTCCTCGCTGCTGTTACGGCTGTTGCTCAGGCTGCTGCACCGACACCTCTTCTTCGGCCACCGGAGATACAAAGAGCCTTCGCACTTGAGTACGAAGCCACTACCGAGCACCACTGCAGCACTTGCATTCGCAACAGCTGATCAGTTGGTCCATATCTCCGTTAATCCTGGCGTACTTAGCAGCGCTCGCAAAAGAAGATAGCTCTCAGGCAGCGGGGTCTCACTTTGGTGGGCAGATATGCCACGGCGACAAAGCGTTAGCACTGCTAGTTGTGGCTCAAGGTCACCAGTACTTCCTGTTAAAAGGATTTCGGCTGCGATGTCACGCGCACCAGTAACCAACAGTGTGCGATGGTTGCGTTTATCGGATCGGCAATGTTATTAGAATCACGTGTTCTACGAGTCGCATATGAAACAACGTTTTTCGGGCCGTACATTACTTTTACTGAACTCGGCGCGCTGCGAATGATGAGAATACCATACCTTGGGCAGTATCACTGTTACGTGAATAGCGTCGGATAACTGGCTGGCGCACTCGATCCCGCAATCTGAGAAAGCACAATTCTACAATTATTGGAAGGAAGTATTTAATCATTTATAAGTGTCTGAGAACGCGAGAGCGGATGCATAGTTTTCCGAATGCATTACTCGCCCTGGATGTGGCTGTTGATTGATATGTGGGGTTTAACGTCCCAAAACCACCATAAGATTATGAGAGAGGCCGTAGTGGAGGGCTCCGGAAATTTTGGCCACGTGGGGTTCTTTAACGTGCACCCAAGTCTGAGCACATGGGCCTACAACATTTTCGCCTCCATCGGAAATGCAGCCGCCACAGCCGGGATTCGATCCCGTGACCTGCGGGTCAGCAGCCGAGTACCTTAGCCACTAGACCACCCCGGCGGGGCATGGATGTGGCTGTTCGATATATATATATATATATATATATATATATATATATATATATATATATATATATATATATATATATGGGAAAGAAGTGTATGCCTAAGGGCTCATTTTTCCGTGTTTTGACACAATATTAATGATATCTAACAGACAATATTGCCAAGGAATGTATAGGGAAAGTTATTAGAACCAATGTAATGTAAGTAAGAAGCAAGAAAAGTGGGTGAAAAATATATTGCCGTCAGCAGGCATTGAACCTACGACCTTAGAATAATGCGTTGTTATTTTTCACTCACCACAAATCAGGGGAAGTGACGTCTCAGTCCACCCACCAGAAAGGGTACAGAAATCGGGCCAAAAACGTGGGTGAAAATGTCCAATGGTCATCACGAGTGCACCACACAATTACGAACCCGGCCCACACCTTGAAGGCACCGCAGGGTGAGGAGGTAAATTCCGGAAAGAAAAAGTTGAGCTCTTCCGCGGCGATGGCTGCTGACACGAACGTTAGCAGCAGTCCATGGCTGCTTTCAGCTACAGGCTTCCAGAACTCTCTCGAACATGGCAGTCCAAACGCTCGATCTTTGAGAACGGCTTCTTTGACGTCTTCCCACGCTTCCGGACTGACGAAGCTTTTTGGACGATTTCGCGTCGGCGATGACAGCCGAGTCGAGAGGACCTCCATAGTGACGTCGTCCCACGTTGTTCGAATCCGTTCAACAAAAGGGTTGTCTCGCAAAGCTTTGGTTGTGACCTGACCACTACCTGGAAAATCTACAGGACAGCGTCTTGCAGATGGGGTTGAAAGCATCCTAGCAGACCGGCTTACGTACAATGGCGTCTGCCCAGACGAATTGCCGGGCCAAACGAAACAGCTCCTCCGCCGCCCGGAAAATCTTGGCTGGCCAGCGCTCCCAACCACTGGGCACGAAGAGAATGGCTGGTGACGAGGTCAGGCTGACCTGGCTTGGAACCTCCAGCTGCAAACTTGCAACTAACTACCAGACTACTTCACAATGATTGACAACAGCAAAACTAACCACACAACTCAATAGTTGCAGCCAAGTGCATTGGACTCGCTTAAAACCCCCCTGGCTTCTAAGAAACACAAAGTCTACTGAAATTTTAACAGAATTTTGTGCTGCCAAAATTACAAGATTTATAGATATGGAAATGTCTACTGAAAATAGAACAATTTGCCGTGCGAGAAAAGCACACAAAGCCAAATACAATTTGGCCTCAGATAACCATAAACACACAACTAGCTTTCTCCTACAATCCACACTACTAAGTTGTAACTTGCATCTGCTAACTTCATGACTAACTTCTTGAAACACAACCAACTACAATGGCTTCACAGGAATGCTGCCTGAACCTACACTAAGTAACTGGGCGCATTCTTCATTCTCACTAAACATACTTTCAAGGCGTAGTCATAAGTACCTACTTGAAGGACACCCTGACACCAACGAAAACTTACTCACAACAGATCGAACTACGTCTTATAATTACCTGAAACGTATCCCTAACCTCACCGTTCGGTAAAGCGCGTCTCAGCTCAAGAGATCACACGATCCCTAAGCACTCACTAAAATGACAAAATAAAGGGAATAAACTTCTCGTACTACACGCTTGTTTGCTGGATGTGGCCTCATGTCAGCCCATGTCTTTAAAGAACGCACAGGACTTTGCTATGCGCTCTAGCACGACATCATACTCTAATTAAAAGAACGCTAGCCTACTAACACACACCTAACCATAGGTCACATCCATATTGCCACTTGGCCGCTAGTTACGGCGAGCGCAAGCCATGGCTGCCCGCGAGAATGGAAGACGATGTTCTGAGGCAGCGCGTGCTCTGCCTAGTTGTTGATTATTGAAGCAGCCATCTTGCCAGTTTTCTATGCGTCTCCGCGCCGGCTCAGTTCTTCCTAGTTGAAGAGTTTTTGTAGCACGTGACAACTGGTGGAGGTGCAGGGTAACCCCCAGCCGATGTTCCAAACGCCTCCAGGTAGCCCTGTACCTGCAGTGACAACACCTGTCCACCACTCAAGCCGAAGACTCCGAGGACTACCTCCTGAGCGTGGACCTCCTCCCGAGATGACGTCTGTCACATCCCCGAACGCTACGGAAAGCGCTACAGCCTCCAACGAGCAGGAAAGCACTGCAGCCACGCATCATACGCTGTGGAAGCCACGTGTGCCGAAGGTGTTCCACGGTTCCGTCTTGGATGATGTCGAAGACTGGCCGGCACAGTTCGAACGGGTTTCGGATTACAATGGTTGGACCAACTTCGACAAAATCAGGAACGTGTATTTCAGCTTGGAGGACGGCGCTCGTACTTGGTACGAAAACCGTGAGCCTTTTCCCTCGTGGAGCGTGTTTCATCAATACCTGCTGGCAAGTTGGGCCAATCCCGATCGCCGCGAACGAGCCGAGCGAGCGATTCAGCCGCGGCTCCAAATGACGAATGAAAACGTTATGATGCGCGTCGAGGACATGACGAGCCTCTTTCATCGAGCCGACTCTGACATGGCAGAAGAAAAGTAGGTCCGTCATTTAATGCGAGGAGTGAAGGAGCAGCTTTTCGCTGGCCTCGTTCGCTGTCCCCCTAAGACCGTGACGGAATTTTTGACCGAAGCCACAACCATAGAGCAAGTGCTGCAGCAGCGCTCTACTCTGTACGACCGGCAAGCGAATGCCGCTTCGTCATTAGGTCAGATCGGAGGTGTGGCAGGCAACATCAACATCGAGTCTCTTTGCGATCTCATTCGATCGGTGGTGCGCGACGAACTGCAAAAGATTCAGTGCCAGTCCCAACCTACTGCAGGGTCTATTTGCAGCCTTGTCAGAAACGAAATACGACAGGCTCTCCAAATGCCGCCTTCCAGCTATGTCCCGCCTGTCCCGGCGGAGCCACATCGTGCTTCATACGCAGAAGCTGTAAGCCGATATATTCCTGCTTCACTACGCTTCGTTAATCTTATGCCTCAGGATGCACTTCCTTCGCTGCAGCCAATTCAGCACTTAGAAAATCTACAGCTGCGTCCCAGAAAATCCGACGTATGGCGCACACCGGACAGACGACCACTGTGTTACCACTGTGGTGAAGCTGGACGTGTGTACCGGGAATGTCCCTATCGTCGTCTCGGACTACAGTGTTTTGCCGTCGACGCACCACGGCCGAGATTTGGCGAAAGACCAAGAGGCATTAAAGATTGCATCTCACAGCAGCGCATGGCATTGCGGCGGCAGTCGCGGTCCCCATCCCTAAGGCGATCTTCTCCAAATTTTCGGAACCTCCCAGGAGCGGCGTCGGCGCGCTCGCCAAGCCCTAGGCGGGAAAACTAACGACAGCGACCTTCGGGAGCGAGGCCGCTGACACTCGACGCAAGCGAGGCCTCCCACCGACGCAAGCACGGACGCGGAGTGATTCCCCGACGACAGCGACGAAAGCCAGAAGCATATTTTCTCTAGATATACATGTGGTAGTCGACGGTCACCACGACGTTAGCGCATTATTGGACACAGGTGCGGACTACTCGATCATAAGCGGGAAACTAGCAGCGCACATAAAGAAAGTTGTAACGCCTTAGTACGAAGCGCAAATTCGTACTGCCGGCGGGCACGTTGTCACCCCAATCGGCATGTTCACTATCATAGTGGGCATTCGGGGACGTACGTTTCTCGCCAGCTGCCTCGTACTTCTTGACTGTTCTCGAGACCTAATCCTCGGAGTCGACTTTTTGCCGGAGCAGGGCGCTGTTATCGATCTTCGAGAGCGTACCGTGACGTTTTCGACAGCTGGATCCTCCGACAAACCTGACGACATCCGTGACAGCACGCTTCGCGTTTCTGCCGACAGCATCACGTTGCCTCCGCGTTCAAGTGTCCTAGTTGATGTAATGTCTGACAAGTTACGGGATGGTGAGGTTGTCGCCGAAGGCACCCTGACGCTTTTGTTCGCGCTAGGTGTCTACGCTGCACGCAGCCTCGCCACGCTTTATTACGGACACTCTGCCCTACTTGTGACTAATTTCAGTAACGAGTACCGGCACCTGTTTCGTGACACCACCATCGCTTTCGCCGACCCTATCGCAGACGTTTCTGAATGCTTCGCATCAACATCAGCCAACGACGGGCTTCGACCGACACCAAGCGACGTGAATTCACTACTTGGAAAAGTTGATGTTCACTCGACCCTCTCGGAACAACAACAGACCGAGCTACGTGAACTGGTATATAAATTTAAAGAGTGTTTTGCGTCCACCTCGAAGGTTTGTCAGACACCGATCACCAAACACCGAATAATTACGTATAAGGATGCCTCACCCATAAAACAACACCCTTACCGCGCGTTTCGGCAAAGGAACGTGACGTTATAAATGCTCAAGTCAAAGAGATG